AACAATAATAATAATAACAATAATAATAATAATAATAATAATAACAACAACAACAATAACATTAATAACAATAATAATAATAATAATAATAACAATAATAATAATAATAATAATAATAGTAACAATAATAATAATAATAAGAATAATAATAATAATAATAACAATAATAATAATAACAACAACAACAACAACAACAATAATAATAATAATTACAATAATAATAATAATAATAATAATAATAATAATAGTAATAATAATAATAATAATAATAGTAATAATAATAATAATAATAATAATAATAGTAATAATAATAATAGGAATAATAATAATAATAAGAATAATAACAACAACAACAACAACAACAACAACAGTAATAATAATAATAATAACAACAACAACAACAATAATAATAATAATAATAATAATAACAACAACAACAATAATAATAATAATAATAACAATAATAATAATAATAATAATAATGATAATAATAACAATAATAATAATAATAACAATAATAATAATAATAATAACAATAACAATAATAATAATAATAACAACAACAACAACAACAATAATAATAATATTAATAATAATAATTTCGGCGCACGTTAGCTTAACGTGAGCTGGAAGGTGTTAATGGCGAGGGGAAGAGGTAGAGGGCGGGGACGAGGTCGGAAAACACCAGTAACGGAGGATGGTAGCTCAATAGGAACATGTATGGAAGAAAATGAATCACAGAAGATGGAACAAGCTCAACAAGAGGTAGCTAGTGATGAGCTAACCACTAGCACTAAAGGAGCTAGGAAATTGATTTTCGAATCTCAAAGAAGTAAGGAAGAGGATCGTGGAAATCTAGATCTGGAAGGGTTTGAAGATGAGATCCAAGCAGTTGACAATGGAACAGTATTAAAAAATCCAGAGAATAAGGATAAAGATGGTAATGTAGTAACTGATCATGAGCAGAAAAAGGAAACAAATGAACCATGGGTTAATATGTTTAAAAACAATAGAGTTGCGAGTAATGGAATGCAGCTGTCCTATTTCCCTCCACAGGTGGTTGATGGACAAGCAGTAGTGCAGCTTGAAGAGAAAGAGGTGCAGGAGGAAGAACAGAAATGGAAATGTGCCCTTATTGCTTATGTGATTGGAGAATGCCCAGGGTATAATACAATGAAGAGGTTCATAATGGTGAATTGGTCTAGTGTGAGTAAGCCTGAAGTGTATCTTCATGAAGAGGGGTATTACCTAATTAAGTTCCAGAAACTAAGTGACATGAATGAGATCATGTATTCAGGGCCTTATACAATCAATAATAGACCAATAATATTTAAACAATGGTGTCCTGAATTTGATTTTGGGAGTGAGTTCTTATCAGAAATTCCTCTATGGGTAAACTTTCCAAAATTGCCTTTGAACTGTTGGGGTGTGGGATCCTTGAGTAGGATAGCAAGTGCAATTGGAGTTCCTATCTTTGCAGATGAATGTACTTCTAATCAAACTAGGATCTCTTATGCTAGAATGTTAGTTGAGGTTAATGTTACTAAAATTATACCCCAGAAAATCACTGTGGTGGATCCAAATGGGAAGTCATTTTTGCAGGAAGTTATGTTGGAATGGAGGCCTCAATATTGTGACAAGTGCCAGAAGACTGGACATGTATGCCAAGTGGGGAATGTTGTAAATGAGGAACTAATGAAGAGAAGAAGGCCATGGAAGAAAGTTACACAAACATGGCAATACAAAGGTCCAATTACACAGAAAACTGATGAAGAAAAAAGGGAGGAATATCAACAAGAGATGAGGCTTTGTCCAAAAAAGAAGAAGCAGCTAGAAGTGCAGGAAGAAGATCAGATGGTAGAGCAAACACCAACAAGTGATGAAGTTCAGGAGCATAGACAGTTGGAATTGAACTTGGATAACTTTCCCATACTTAAACCAATTCCAACAAGGAATGGATTTGAGAGTCTTATGCATGTTAAAATAGCTTCACTTTCTGTTGATAGAGGTGGAGCCCCAAAAACTTGTTGATGAAGTGGTTGTTTTGGAATGTGAGGGGTATGAATAAAAGGTATAAGCAGAAGGAGATCAAGCTGCTTTTACAAAATAAAGTGAGTTTAGCAGGCTTAGTTGAAACAAGAGTTAAAGGCAATAATGTGAGATCAGTTCTTAGAGGAATAGCACCAGGGTGGAAGGCTCTACACAATTATGAAGATAATGCTAATGGTAGAATATGGGTGATTTGGGATGATAATTGGTATGAAGTAAAGAAGATTACTAGCTCTACTCAAATGGTGCACTGCCAGGTGAATGAAAGAAGTAAGGGATATCAGTTTATCTTGTCTGTAGTGTATGGACTTAATACAGCTGAACAGAGAAAGTCTTTGTGGAAAGAAATGGAAACACTAGCAAAAGGTATTACACAACCTTGGCTGGTTGTAGGGGATTTCAATGCAGTGCTGTATGCTAAGGATAGGCTAGCTGGTATACCTGTTGCTATTAATGAGATAAAAGATTTTGAAGAATGTGTGAGAGACATAGGGGTCAATGAATTGCAGTGGACTGGCAGCTACTACACCTGGAATAACAAGCAATGTGGAATGTATAGAATCTCCAGTAGAATAGATAGAGCATTTGGCAATGATGAATGGATGGACAAATGGGGGCATGTAATGGTAGAGTATGGGAACCCAAGTATATCAGACCATAGCTCTATGATGCTAACTCTCCAAAAAACTCAACAGTATGTGAAATGTAGCTTCAAATTTTTCAATGTTTGGACTGAACATGAGAGGTTTATGGAAATTGTAGAAAATGCATGGAAAAAGCAGTATGGATATGATACAATGAAGCAGGTGTGGTGCAAATTGAGGGATCTTCAATACAGATTACAACAGCTGAACAGGAAAGAGTTCAAGTACATAGGGAAGCAGATTGATCAAGCTAGAAGAGAGGTTGCAAATATTCAAAAACAGTTAAATGTACAAGCTACTAATGAGCTGATTGTGGGGGAGAAAGAGATGCTGATCAAACTTGAAAAATGGTCTTTAATGGAAGAAAGTGCTCTGAGACAAAAATCAAGGATCAAGTGGATTCAACTGGGAGATGCAAACAACAAGTATTTCAGTTCAATCATTAAAGAGAGAACTCAAAAGAAGAATATAAGAAGTATTATGTCATTAAAGGGTCAGATGCTTTATGATCCACAGTAAATTCAAGAGGAGTTTGTGAACTTCTATAAGAGTCTAATGGGATCTTCAGCAGGGAAATTACCAGCTATTAATGCAAAAGTGATGAAAAGAGGACCTACATTGTCAAAACAACAAAGATTACAGCTGTGTAGTGGTGTAACTGAGCAAGAGATATATGAAGGATTGAAATCCATTGGGGATGATAAGGCACCAGGGATAGATGGATACAATGCTTTCTTTTTTAAACATACTTGGCAGATTATTAAAATGGATGTTATTGAAGCTGTTAACAGTTTCTTCACAACTAGGAACCTCCATAAGAAGTTTAATTGTACTCTAGTGACTCTCATTCCAAAAGTGCAGAATCCCAAAACAGTGAAAGAATATAGACCAATAGCTTGCTGCACAGTGATGTATAAGATCATTTCCAAAGTGTTAACCAAAAGAATGCATGGGGTGATTCAAAGCATTATATGTGAAAGTCAAGCAGGTTTCATCCCTGGAAGGAAAATGGCTGATAACATTGTTCTTGCTCATGAATTGGTTAAGGCCTATACTAGGAAGCATATCTCTCCAAGTTGAAGATTGATCTGCAGAAAGCCTATGACTCAGTGGAGTGGGATTATCTTGAACAAGTAATGTGTGGGTTGGGGTTTCCAGAACTGTTTGTAAATTGGACAATGAAATGTGTTAAAACTGTGAATTACTCCATAGTAGTTAATGGACAGACATCTCAGAGTTTTGATGCAGCTAAAGGTTTGAGGCAAGGAGATCCAATGTCTCCCTTCCTGTTTGCTATAGCAATGGAGTATCTGAGCAGGCTACTCAAGGGTCTAAGAGAAGACAAGAAGTTCAAGTATCATCCTAGATGCTCAAAACTTGACATTACTCATCTTTGTTTTGCAGATGATTTACTAATGTTTGCTAGAGGAGATTTGGAATCTGTGAAAGCTATTCAACTGTGTTTCTCACAATTTTCTCAAGCCTCAGGCCTACAAGCTAATTTGAGTAAGAGTTCAATATATTGTGGAGGGGTTAAGAAAGAAGTGAGGAATCAGATTGTTCAACAACTAGGCTACAATATGGAAGAGCTTCCTTTCAAGTATCTGGGAGTACCTCTATCAACTAAGAAGATGACTATGATGCAATGGTACCCCCTCATAGAGAAAATAATGGCAAGAATAACCTCATGGACAGCTAGGAAGTTATCATATGCAGGAAGGATTCAGCTAGTGCAGACAGTCCTCTTTGGTGTCCAAGCATACTGGGCTCAACTATTCCTATTTCCAACTAAGGTAATCAAATTAATTGATAGTATGTGTAGAAGTTATATTTGGTCTGGTGATGGGAAGGTAACTAAGAAAGCCTTAATAGCTTGGGAAAGAGTATGTAGGCCAAAAAATGAAGGTGGTATGGGGTTGATAAACATGCAACTATGGAATAGAGCTGCAATAGCCAAACTATGTTGGGATTTGGCAAACAAAGAAGACAAACTGTGGATTAAATGGATACATGTCTATTACATAAGAGGACTCAGAGATTGACAGAAGAGAGAACAAGCAAGTTGGATGATCAGGAAGATAATGCAGGCTAAACAAATAGTTGATCAAGTTCACATCAAAGAAGGAAAAGGAATGGTTAAGCAAATATATGAGCATATAAGAGGGGAGCAACCTAAACCTGTGTGGAAATGTCTAATATTCAAGAATTCTGCAAGGCCTAAAGCTATATTTACTCTGTGGATATTAATGCATAGAAAGCTAGCAACAGTGGATAGACTTGCTAAATAGGGGATAACACATGATTCAGCGTGTGTACTCTGTACAAATAAGGATGAAAGCCTCGATCACATGTTTTTACAGTGTCATTATGCAGAGGAAGTGTGGGAAAGAGTATTAACATGGGCTGGTTTCAACAACAATATAGCAAAAACATGGACACAGTTTGTGCAATGGTGTATACAACATGGGAAGGGGAAGACTACAAGAGCTCAATTATTCAGAATGGTCCTAGCAGAAGTAGTGTATGCAGTATGGAATGAGAGAAACAAGAGAATTTTTGAAGATAAGAAGAGTTTGGTAGAAGAGATTGTTAAAAAGATAGCATATGTAACTATAGCAAGATCTCCTATTAGCATAAGTAAGATTATTAGCCATAGGAAGATCTGATGTTTAGTTAATATTGTTGGAGTCCTAGGGAGTATTATCCTTTGATGTAAAAGCATGCTGTGATAGCTGCTTGGATTGTAAAGACTTTTTCGGTAATTAATGAATTGGTTACCAAAAAAATAGAATAATAATAATAATAATAATAATAACAATAATAATAATAATAAGAACAATAATAATAATAATAACAATAATAATAATAATAATAATAATAATAACAATAATAATACTAATAATAATAATAATAATAACAACAACAACAACAACAACAACAATAATAATAATAATAATAATAATAATACTAATAGTAGTAGTAGTAGTAGTAGTAGTAGTAGTAGTAGTAGTAGTAGTAATAATAATAATAATAATAATAATATTAATAATAATAATAATAGTAATAATATTAATAATAATAATAATAATAGTAATAATAATAATAA